AGAAAAAAAAAGATCACTTTTCACCTCAACTGAAAGGCGCGTCAAATCTGAATCACTAAGGTACGACGTGACCATCAGGAGGCTCATCTCTGCCTTGTCTTCCTAGGACTCCGACTGTAAATTCACGGACTCTGCACTGCATTTATCCTGGGGAGTCTTCATGAATGCAAGTTCAATGCTAAGTTACATGTAAAGCACGATTCCTGTACTTGACAAAGAGTAAGACGATGCTACCAGTAATGCTGAAGGGAGCTCACATCCACTCAGTACCCACTGTGAAGAAGCACAGTATCAAAGGCCGAGAGCATCGGTCTGTCTGACCACGCCCTGTCATTATCTACCACAGGCACAGAAACATGAGTGACCAGAGCTTTGGTCATCAAGAAGGGATGGAAGATGTCAACCCAGGCGTGTGAGTGCAAATGCATTTTCTGCTTCAGCCTGGAGGGACAGCACACAGCAATGTCTTCCACAGACACATAAAGCAGTTAGGCTCAATGGTGAGGACGCACAAACTACTGAGACACCCTCAGGAATTTTAACACTTGATCGAGTAAGTGACCCAGGATCCTTTGGAGATGTCTATGTGTGGTATTATAGGAGACAGCCTAAAGGACAGATACAAGCATTATCCTACAATTAAACCTAGCTCACAGTGAAAGCTCAAGATGAAGCTGCAGAATGAGCAGCTAACATGTGGAAACTGTCTTCAGCTGAAGGAAATCACGGAAGGCATGGGCGCCAGGCAGGATGAGAGCAAACACGAGAGGCCACCACCAGAGAGAAGCAGGACATTACTGATGTCATTACTTCCACAAACAGGTTATTTACTAAGCACAGTGACTAGAAACTCACTCAGTTTTTTACCTGGTCAAAACAAAACCACAACAAACTATTATGTGGCTACAGCAATGACAGTCAAAGGCTGGGCAGCAAACTGTGACGGGACAATGCTGACGACTGGAAAGAAACACATTGGGAGGCCAGGGAAGGCTGTGCACAGGCTTAAATACCGAGCTGCAAACAGGAACATGGGAAAAAGGCTAACAGTGCAGCCATTGCGATGGAAAGAGACAGCCAAGCCATGCCACGGTCAGTGATGCCCAGCCTGCAGGGCTCGTCCCACCAGAGGAGATGCAACCAGCGCCCCCGTGTGCAGGGCAGAGAGAAGACATATAGGTGATACCAATGTGGCCAGAGAAAATGCTCACTCTTATAAATACGTCTGTCTATACTGGGAGGCACGTAAGCTGTGCGGGGCACTTCTCTTTTTCCATTAACAGGTACTGAGGGTATAGGGGGACATGGGAGATGGATGTCACAGGCCAACCAGGGTCTACTCATCCGACCTTCCTGGGACCCAGAGCTAAAATGACGTCATTATAAGACTCTCGATGACTGTCGGTGCTAAACCAAAGCAAATGTCTTTCATAAGCTTACAACTTCCATCACTGTGTAGAGCTTACTGAAAAACAGAAGTGCATTGCCCTTACCCTACACAGTCATCAGCATGGCCGGTGTCGTAGAAATGCTGGGCTCCAAGCTCCTGAAGTCGTTTGTCAATTACTTTCCCTCCATTGCAGAAGTATGTGTATTCTGAGTCACCCAAACCTAGAGAACCCAAATACATACTCAGGGAGTATGAAGGCTCAACAATATGACGGACAGCGATACAAAATGTCTTAATACTTCCCCACACTCTTACGTATCCATCATGTATAACGTATAGATCCACGTTTCCTTATTTTTTCCAGTAATCGTAAGTATGAAATGCTTTTCTACTGCATATCATACAAATACAGGCTACTGGCCAAAGAAATATACATATTTAACATTTCTGTTTCCGTGAGTTATTATAACAATACAGGAATCTGAAGAAACAGGTACAGCTGGCTTTCAAACCCAGCGTCTGTACTGTACACTTTCCCAACTCTGAACACAACTGCCAAGCACACTCTATGCGTGTAAGGAAGGTTTCTCTGGAACATAGCCACATCTGCTTGCTTACACGCCATGGTGGTTCTGAAGCCACAATACCACCCGACAGCTATAACAGTGACCATGTAACCTACACATACCGATCTTCCCTCAAGAGCACTTGCCACTTCTGATTTGCATACCCTGGCACACCTGTGTGACAAGCAGAGGCTGTGTACACCTCTGTCATGTCAACTTAAAGAACTGCTCCAGTCTCGGATACTGAGAAAGCTAATGCTTTACATCTGCTTGAAAATTCAACACTGAAAACTTAAGTCTCTCAGTTTAGTTGTCCCCATGGCTTGACAACAGAGTGAGTGTGTGATGGGAACGTACACGGCCCACCACTGACGAGAACGGCTGGGTCAGGCTTCAACCTGATCTCTATAGACAAGGTCCTGAGTTTGATCCTCAAGACATACCCAGAACAGAGGGAAGAGAGGATCAGAGCATTGCTTTGGGGTACAAACTGGAGAATGATTGACATTTCTATATTTTATATAGATATAATATTTATGTAGAAATAAAGAGACCCATGTAATTTTATTTCAAGATTTTGAAAGATACATTCATATGTCAAAGTAGTAACTGCATATAGTAAAAGTGAAATAGTTACCCAATAATCCATACCGCAGGTGAGCAAAGAAGTCTGTGGGCAGTGTCTTGTCGTGTATTTCTTTAACAAACTTGCGGGCTGTGTCAGGTGGGTCTCCGGTACCCGTGGTGGATACAACCATCACCAGAGGGCCAGTTTCTGTTTTTAGGTCATACTACAAAACAAGGATGCAGTACTGCAGATTTGTGAGTTAGCACACTGGCAAGATCAAGACAAAAGAACCGGAGGCCATGAGCCCACTTTCCTGTCTTGCATGCTTCCTTCTAATTTTTCTTCTGGCTGAGTTATCGTAACACACACACTAGTGAGCAGTCTGTGACTAGGTCCCTCAATCACACTGTCAAGTAACTCAAAGGAACACTGCCTTTTTAGTTCACTTTTGCTGATGGCACCAGGAGGCTAGGAGAGTTTAACACTTTTCCCTCCACATGGTACACTAAGAAAAGCCCCGTCTCCCCCCAGGCTGTTATCGAATTCTGTACTTCAGGAAGACATGAGAAGTAAACAGGCCCATTAAATTGTCAGGGGGACATTTTATCTTGAGCAGCAGGCAGTAAAATTATATATATATATCACACTAAACACACACACACAAAACACACACACGAAAGTAAAAAGAGCAAAGTGTTTTTACAGCATCAAGGTGAGGCAGAAACAAAGATAACAAAGATGACCGACACTGAGTACCTAGAATTAAAACATCAGAACACTGCCAGGCATGACTGTGTATGCTTTTAATCCCATTACTTAGAAGGCAGAGGCCGTGGCTCTCTAGAGTTCATGGTCAGCCTGGTCTACAAAGAGCACAGTTCTGCAACAATAAACAAGCATACTTTAAAAACAAAAAATGAAGGAACACAGGAGCAACAGGAGATATCCCAGTGAAGACAGGCTGAAATGCAAGTGAGGTCGTGAGGTTTTTAACCTAATTCAAATGTATACTGTTGTGTTAATCTCAGCTAGTTGGCGGGAGGATCCCAAGTTCAAGTTTTGCCAGAGCTACAATGTAAGTTCAAGGCTAGCTTGGGCAAGCCCCCTGTAAACACGGCGCCCCCCCCCCCAAAAAAAAGGGTATATAGCCTCATTCCACAACAAAGTACAGGAAAATGGACAGGAATAGCAGCCCTTACCTTTTCTGACTCACTGATACAGTGAAGATCTGCAGAAAACCCGTGTGACACAGCCTGCTCACTTATTTCTTCCGCTATAGCCTTTGCCTGTCCTCGCTGTGTAGCATACAGTAACAAAAACCTTCTCATCACCTCAGGTCATCAGCTGTAACTCTAACCGTGAGACTAAAAACCACAAAGGGAAGAAAGGTATACTGTGTAATGAAGTGGCATGACGTCCAAACATAATTTGAAACACCGTTCTCTAAACTTGTTTCTTAGCTCTAATTTTAAATGAACCACAGTACGAGAGAATTAAGACAGGGGATCTACAGAAGTGAGACCCTTGATTGCATGAAGTCCACTCCAGATTTCTAGCTACCTTTGGGTATTGCAAGTGTCTGTCATTCGGAAGTGCATACCTGCAGGAGTGATCTGCCTTTCTGTACTCAGAATTAGGATCATAAGCCTGAATGGCGAAGGGACTAAACAAAGCTCAAACATAGTGTCAATTACAATGGCTACTGTTTCTGCCATTAAAAAAACAAACAACAATAACAACAACAACAACAACAACAAAACCTGTACAGTATTCCCGTAAAACTGGGGAATTCGTGTTTCCTGCTAGATTCGAATCAAAGTACTGGTCCTCATCAAAGTTCGCATAGTTGCATAAATCAGTAGTCAGTGTACATGGACTTTACACAGAGACGGTATTTCTAATCCATGCCTTACCCTGGAGATAACCAAGAGAAAAATAAAGGGCTCCGGTATTCCACACTGTGCCATTCTATCCAGTGGCTGACGCTGAATGGTAGCCAGTCTGTATAAAATTATCTTTTCGTGAGTGAACCAACTACAGTTCTTAAGCCCTTGTTGCTTATCTGCTGGGGAGCTAGGTCATAAAAACTGAAAAGGTTCGTTAGGAAGCATCGCTACAGAGTTGACAGGACCAGTGGGCGACTCGCAACGCGACACGTGCGGGCTCACGAGGCTTTGGGAAAAGGTGGCGGAGAAGACTACTCCTCACCGCACCCCGTGAACCCCACATCGGTCCGGGAGACTCAGAGAGGGCATCCCACTGCGCAGGCGTAAGTCCCGGCTCCCCACGACTTGCTTCGCTCCCGCCATTCCCGGCCGTGTACCTCCAGGCGCGAATTCCTGCGCGCGACCCCTTTTTCCTCTGACAGGCACCGTCCGGGAACACCGCGCACGCGCGCGCCGCACATCACGCATGCTCCGCACGACCACCAATACAAATGCGGGCAGACCCGGGCCAATCGCTGAGCGCCGGATGTGGGCGGTGCCTTAGTGCCGCGCACGCGCCGGGGTGTCCCACGGGTAAGGGACAGTGTCCGCGAACGGCGCTCCCGGGACGCGGAAGCTCCGCGTCTGTCCTGTCCCGGGTGCGGCTCTGAGCCGCTCGGTAAGTTCCGCGAAGTTAGGAGCCCCGGTTTCCCCACGCGTGCTCCAGCGTGCTCCGTGGACTCCAGCCCGGCCACGCTGCGCCTGCCTCTGCCGTTGCCCTGTTCCGCTTCTTTTCTGTGATTGTTTTAACTAGTGCGTGCGCCCCAGCCCAGCCGCCTCCATCGCTTCTCCGCGCATGTTGCCATGCTTTGCCCGGCTGGTACCCGGAGTTTGAATCATGCCGGCTGCTCCTCCTCTCTCGTAAATATCACCTTTGACTTTTCCTTCCCCCGACACGTGAGTCTCGAGATTTGAAAGGAGGTAGAATTTGAATTCCAGCTCTTAAGCTCCCAGCTTCACTGGGCGCGGTGGTTTTCCCTTAGCTGGAAAAGCATCAGCCAGACTAACTAAATTATTGTAACCTAGCCCATAGGCAGGACTTTAAGTAAGGGGTGGGCAGCGATCGCAGCTATGGTTAGGAGCCAGCATCTCACCCAGACATAGTGAGGCCACAGGAAGTCAGTCCTATGATGCTTCAGTGCACCTGACAACACTAAGCCACGGGAAAAAAAATCCAGAATGAGCCAGAGTGCAGCTAAGTCAATGAGTTCTGATGAATCAGAAAATAGGCTCTTTTGAAAACTGAAGAGACACGTGGGCCTGAAAGCCTTGAGTAGTAACCGATGTGTATGAATATGATTATGGGGTCTGGGGGGGGGCTATTTAATCAGCAACCAACTTTACATATTAAAGGAGGCATGTGTTGGTGCACTCCCTTCATTTTGTCCCTAGAACGCGGTCCTTGAAGAGGAAAGCTTTCTAAAGGTACGTTGTGGTGAAACATTAATCTGAAATCCTTACATACACATATGACTCAAGGAGTTTAGATTTAAGGCATAGTTCATTAAAAAAAAAAAGCCTTTGTAACACTGCCTAGAGAGAGGTGTGCATGTCTTCTACAGGTGACTTGGCTAGTTAAGGTGAAACTGTTGGGTGTCAGCCAATTAGGTGTGGAAATCAGGACCAGGAGAGTGGGGACCCCCTTCCCAGGTTTTCTGTTTCCTCGATCTTTAGGAAAAGTAAGCCTTGCTTTTAAAAATATTTTAGCAAATCTCTTGTTTTTTAATTTTTGTCGTGGGATACCCAGTCTCAGTTTCATAAACATTGATGTTAAGTCGTCTTTCTCAGCGTTTGATCGTGTTTTTTTTTTTTTTTTCTTCTTACGCTAAGTCGCGTGTTGTGAATCCTATGGCATGGCGTTCATCACCCTGAGGAGGGCCTTTTGTCACACGTCTGGTTTTTGGATACCCGGAGCTGTGGAAATTCACCCTGCCAATCACGTCGTCCGAAAGGCAGTCAAAGATCGCCTCCGTGTTTGGTTCTGTTCCCTACAACCTGAGCTGTCCAGGGTCAGATTCCATCACGCGTACTGTAAAAACTTCCACTCAGAAAACGGAAATGACCTTCATCCAGTTGGCGAGCCATGGGTCTCTCAAGCACAGGAATGGAGCCAGCCGGAACAGAGTCTTAGAAACGAGGATGAAGAGATGGTTTTCAGGAGACTGAGCAGCTCTGCCTCCTTTGAGGAAGTGCTGAGTTTCGTAAGTACCCTGGACCCCCTGCCTGTCGCTCTGGCGGCAGCAGCTCTGCTCAGGATCTGTGAGATAGGGACCAGGGATGGTAAGCAAAGGCTGCCAACAGGAGTTCTTGAGAACCCCGTCTTCCAGGCTTTGTGCCTTAGGTGTGAGCGGGACCCCTCACATCTGACCAGTGCTGGTTTGGTGACGGCTTTGCAGTCTCTGCTTTTGTTGCCGCCTGTAGATCCTCAGAGTCGCTTGATGCTGAGTCTCATGGCAGAATGCCAACGTCGCCTCCGAAGAGGCGGCCTGGAAGTCCACCATCTTTGTGTTCTTGGGGAAAGTCTGGCTCGGCTTCAGGGTGCAAGTTGTGAGACCCTGAAGCTGGTTCTCTCCCATCTGCAGAGTGAAAATTTGGAAACGTTTGCTCCAGAGGACATTGTGTCCATTTATAGAATTCTGCAGGCGTGTCCTGAAGAAGTAGACAAACACCAGACGTTTTTAAACACAGTAAACAACTTTTCCCCTTCAATAGTTCCCTACCTGAGCCCTAAATCCATTAGTGATGTTCTAAGTGCCTTAGTGGCCCTGGACCAGACTCACGCACGACCACTGCTGATAAAACTGGGCAAGTACGTTGTGAGATACATTCCCCGGTTTACTAACGAAGAGCTCAGGAAGGTCTTGGAGGCGTTTGTTTACTTTGGACACAGTGACAAATTTTTCACAGAGGCCTTAGAGCAGCACGTGGCCGCCCTGTGCCTCGCCCTGGACCCTGCCATTGCCGTCTCCGTGATGGAGTACTGCAGCCGAAAGCGGATCCTTTCCAAGCCCATCTTCAACGTAGTTGCGGAGATCTTTGTTTGCCAGTCGGAAAAGTTCTCACCTACTCAGATCTCTGAACTGATCGAGCCATTTGGAAAACTCAATTATTTGCCACCCAACGCCCCTGCCCTGTTTAGGAAGGTAGAGAGCGTGCTCTTGGCTCGCTTACGGCACTTCCCACCAAAGACGCTGTTGAGGCTCCTCCACTCCTGTGCGCTGATTGAACGCCATCCCGTCAACTTCATGCCGAAAATATTCAGCCCCCTTTTCCTTCAACGGCTGCAAGGTGAGGCGGCTAAGAAGTTAATAACTTGGGATGTGCTCGGGCACTGTTTACATTGACTCATAGCTCTGGTGTCGTTTAAGACCGCCTGCTTCAGGAGTAACTGCCTTGTTTTATAATCATAATCCCTCATTGACATGCCAGCATCCCAACCCAGCAATCTTTAAATTTTGTTTTTTCAGGTAAAGAGTCATATTTGGACAGATTGAGCCTGGCACAGCTGACCCAACTTTTCCTGACCTCCGTCCTAGAGTGTCCTTTCTATAAGGTGAGAATAGGGACATGAGTGGAGTGGCTTTATGTCCCCAGGATGCTCGTCTTTTGTGCTCTCTGACATCTTCAGTTTCTTTTGATGTTGGTGCCAAACAGCAGAACTTTCTCTTAGGTTGGACTGGTCCTGGACATCTTGTGGCTCCTGTCACTTTTCCTCATTCTTGTCCTGGAAGATGGGTCTCTGACCATGTAGTCCCTTAGACTTTATCAGACACAAGAGGTTCCCTACTCCAGATCTCCCAGCAGGCTCTCGCACTTCACTGCTGTGTAACTCTGGACCGCACAGAGGCGGAGTTGCTTCTGAGAGGCTCCTTAAGCCACGCCCAACATGCTGCTGTAGTTCAGCTGGCGCTTGCCTTTTCCACACAACCCTCCCTGTTCTCATAACTCACAAAGCTTGTGTAGAAATGGCATCCCCAGGCCTGGCTCCCACAACTGCCCCGTGCTCACATGCTGGAGAGTGTCTGATGTGAAGAGTAACGTCCCTGAATCAAACCAGAACTCTAGTCTGTAAAGCTGCTTGGGCTGCTCTAAGTCTGTCTACCCCTACACCCTTGAAAGCGTGGTGTCAGCATCGGTCTCTCTGCCCAGATTTAGGTAAACAGTGTGCAAGCCCTGTGTGCAGCTTTCCCATTTGAAGTCATGGGGTGAACAAAGGAGGTTGGTTTTCTCTCCAGCATGTGGTGGCCATTCCTGAGTCCTGGATATGGAGCATAGGCCATGGCTTTGAATTTTGTGGCATTGTTCTGACATTCCACGCAAAGCATTTCAGGTTTTTGCTGGTTTGTCTCTGTCATCAATGCTGTAATAAACATTCTTACGTGTCTTAGCATCCTACAGTCTATAAAAACCTATGAAGTAGATTCTTAAACAGGTGGGTTGAGGTGGGGGTTCCTGAATGAATTTTGGGTAAAGGTGGACATTTCCCCCTAGCAGAGACACGCATCATCTGTGCCCAGCGGTAGATGAAGGGGACAGCCATGACTTCCACGCCTCAGCTGCAGTGGGGTTGGTCCTTGGAAACCTAGTCATTTCTCCCCTGAGAGGGACTGCCCTGCCCTGCCCTGCCCCGCCCTGCCCTGCCCTGCCCTGTGTTTGAATTGCATTTGAATGAGCAGTAAGGGCCTTGAGCCTGCTTTCAGGTGTTTATTGTTAATTTAGATTTCCTGCCAGTTGTCTTTGTACAGCTTTAATTCAGTGTGAGACAAGGGTTAGCAGTTCTAACTGTAAGCTCAGATGAACCCTTTCCTCTCCATGCTGTTGTCATGGTGTTTATCACAGCAAAAGAAAAGCCAACTAGAACACTACTGTAGAAAACCTGAGTTGAGAGGCAAGTGCTGGAGTCTATAATCCCAGCCCTCAGGAGGGAGAGGCAGGCAGATCCGTTGAGGCCAGGAGGGTCGGCTACACCCAGAAATCCTTGTTCAGAAAACAAACAAACAAACAAAAATTATAGTTGGGAGTGATTATGACCTTGAAGTAGCTCCATGCATTCCAAAGAAGCTTTTAACCTGAGTGCTCCTGTGTGTATTTTACTCATTTAGAAAAGGTGAGCTATGGTAGCCATCTAGTTTATTGTCATTTTGAGGAAATGATGTACCCATTTGGTAGAAACATGCCATGTACATAGAGTAATCTTAGGTCAGTCTTTATCCCAGTAGCTTTCAAATCACGCTGTGGCCTTAACGTCTGATTTTTCCTTTCTATGTTTACACGTATGAATTTTAGGGCCCCAGACTTCTCCCTAAATATCAAGTGAAGTCATTCTTCACGCCATGCTGCTCCCTAGAGACACCCATGGATCTCCATCTCTATAGGTCTGTGGTGATCGGACTGATTGATCTTCTAGGATCAAGACTGTATTTTGCTTCAAAAGTGTTGACGCCCTATTATTATACCATAGGTAAGTAGCTAGGGGGCTTGTTTTGTCAGAAGCATCCTGTCCATGTTGAACCATTTGTGGACTTAGTAGCCAGACATGTGTGAGATGCAGGACAGAGCCTTCCCTCCCCTGAAGGGGAGCAGAAGGAGAGGTCAGCAGAATTGTGTTAGGGCCAGGACTCTAGAGTTTCACACATTAGCCACATAGTAGCAGGTTGTCCTGGGCACGGCACCTTAGCCTTTCTGCTCGATCCCTCATCTGCTGAATGAGAGAAGGAACAGGGACCTCCAAGACTGATGGAGCAGTAGAATTGTGAGTCTTCAGTGACATCCTGGGCGCTGTAATCCAGGCCTGTGTTCTCTGTGGCGCCATCAGCATACGAAGCCATCTAAATACACGTTTGAAGAGTTTTAAATTCAGTCCCTTATCACACTGGCACCCGAGCTACACTACAGGTAGACATGTGACTCATTACATGATTAAATTAGACAAGCCCCGGAACAGATCCTCACCTGCTGCAGAGTCCTGTTGTACAGCGCTTGGGAAGGGGGGTCATTCTTCCCATGTGTCCCTCTGCCCTAACTGTTCGCTCAGATTGCTGAGTTAAAGGGGATAATCACAAAAGATGAGCTTAGGACACATCTCACTTCTCTCTGACGGGGCTCTTTGTACAGCGTGGATGGTAGTGTCTATGAGGGAAGGAAGCAGATGTGGTGTGCTCATGAGCCTCGTGTGGGATGTGGGGTGCTTTCTTTACATGCTATGTTAGTTGATTGTATGTCAGCTTGATGTACGCTGAGTCATCAGAGAGGAAGAGCCTCAGTTGAGGAAATACCTCCATGAGATCCAGCCGTAGGGCACTGTCTTATTAAATGATCAATTGAGGAGTGTCTAGCCCATTGTGGGTGGTGAGCTGATAGCCTTGGGGTCTGTAAGAAAGGAGGCCAAGCAAGCCTTGGGAATTAAGCTAGTAAATAGCACCCCTCCATGGCCTCTGCATCAGCCCCTGTCTCCAGGATCCTTCCATGTTTGAGTTCCTGTCCTGACTTCCTTTGATGATGAACAGCAATGAGGAAGTGTAAACTGAATAAACCCTTTCCTTCCCAACTTGCTTTTTTTGGCCTTGGTGTTTTGTCACAGCAATAAAAACGCTGACTAAGACACATGGGAAGAGGGCAGACCTGTAAACAGGGGTGACTCTGCAACTGCCTGGGTTCTTTACTCTGTATTGAAGGATTCAGTCCCCTTGTTCCACGAGGAAGCAGAAAGTACACGTACATGTTCTTGGCATTCTGTAGATTGCTTGAAACATCACTGTTTCAGAGTAATTGAGACTTTTTAGTTCAAAGCTGGCTTTCGTAGTCTGTGGGGCCAGTTAAATAACCGTTCTCACCATTGGTTGTGGCCATTACTTTGCAGCCTCGGCCCACTGATAGAGGCAGTGTGGAAGACATGAACCAGCACAAGGAACACAGGAAGATAGTGTTGTTGAGGGTATCACATGAGGAATTTTTCCTTTCTCTTGCCAGATGTTGAGATTAAATTAGATGAAGATGGATTTGTGTTGCCGTTTACAGTGGATGAGGATATCCATAAAAGGTAAAGTTACAGTAGATGGGGATATCCCCAAAAGGTAAAGAAAGTTACAGTGGATGGGGAATATCCCCAAAAGGTAAAGAAAGTTACAGTGGATGGGGATATCCCACAAAAGGTAAAGAAAGTCGTGGGTTTAAAGCTAAAGACTTAAGCTGGCAAACTGATGCTTTTCTTAAGTTCGACAAGCATGATTCTGGAACTTACTATACTGAGCTTCATGGAGACTGAAGCAGCAAGCACAGAGCCTGCATGGGTCTGCACCTGGTCTCTGTGTACGTGTTAGGGCTCCTAGCTCTGCACCAGGCCCCCTGCATATGTGTTACAGCTTTTAACTCAGTGGTTTTGTGGGCTTCCTGACTGGAAGAACAGTCGGGTCTCTGACTCTCCTGCCTGCTTTGGGACTCTTCCCCTGTTGGGTTACCGTGTCCAACTTTGATAGGCTTCATCGCATTTTGTCAAGCTTGGTTGTTAGCTCTTAGAAGCCTGTTCTTTTCTAATTAGACAGAAAGAGAGTGTATCTGGAAGAGAGGAGAGGTGGAGAGGACCGAGAAGGAGTCAGGGGAGGGGAAGCCATCATGAGGACTGTTACGAGAAAGGAATCTATTTTCAATAAAAAGGAAAACAAGTGAAAATAAATGCTAAACCTATCAGTTTTGGAAAAATCCTTTTGTCTAGTAAACAATAATAGAATTAAATGTATTCTCAACAAACTAGTAAACAATAATAGAATTAAATGTATTCTCAACAAACTAAAGGGTAGTCTATTCATGATTCATTTAAAAATAATAGTGTACATAGGGCTAGACAAATAATTTCTGGCAAGTACAGGCACACCTAGACTGTTTCATGAATGACAGTTACTTTTGCTTTCTCAGGGTGGCACTGTGCGTTGATGGGCCACAGCGATTTTGCTTGGACAGTAAGCACTTACTTGGAAAAGAGGCCATTAAACAAAGACACCTGCGGCTACTGGGTTACCAGGTTGTACAGGTATGGTATAACCTGCCTTTGTTTTTCCTTGAAAATGCAGTGTGTGTTACCAAAATTTGTTTTTTCAGTTATATACATGGACACACAGTACAGCTCTAAAGACTTTACTGGAGTGAACTGTAACCCATGAGCAGAGTAGAAACAGCAGAAGACGGGTGGGGCCAGACAAGTCAGTGACAGGCTTGCCTAGGCTGGTCCATCCTGCAGGATGACAGACTTCCTGTTGTCTATTCGAGATCTTATAGGAACGCCCCTAGTTACACTTCTGCAGTGCTAACTTAAGTTCTGTTCTGTCGATTCCGTGTACAAAAAAAGGCCCAAGCTGGATATCGATTGTATCTGTGATCTAAGCAAGAGTGGTGTGAACTCCCAAACCCTCCCCGACATTGTCTGGTCATGAATTTTACAGACCAAGCCTCTATTATAAATAGCAGTAAGTGACTTGACACTCCAGCAGACCACGAATGTTTAGTCTAGTTTATATCTTCAGAGTTTGCTGATTCAGTTTAAATTACTTGACTCACATTTTGTAGTTTCAAAGCTTGGTGTTTTCCAAACTGGCACATACCTATTTCCTTCTCAACATGCTTAACTCTGCCTTCAGAATTACTGTTAGCGGAGTAGCTTTTGCTTCAGCTTCTGTCTGATTTAATGGATAAATTTAGCAAGGTGGCTCCAGGGTCTTCAGCTACCCTTAGTCTTTGCAACATTATGTTTTCAGTAGGGATTTTATAAGGTCTGTTGGCAGAGTGTAGTAAACATGGATACACTCCTCTCTACCTTTCCGGTGGCTTTCCTGTGATGTCTCCTCATTCCCACATTAATTTTCTAAGAGCTAGCCTCGCCATGCAGTGTGTGCTCAGAAACCACTGCTTCTTTATTGCTTGCAGCCTGAACTAGAGACTTGGTGTTAGTTCCCAGGGCCGTGCATTATCCAGTCTGCACACATAGACCCCCTAGGCACATGGCTGCTCAGGACCATGTGTCACCCAGTCTGCACAGTTCAAATGTGTCTGCAGACCCTTCAGACCCATGCTCCCAGCTCTGGTTCTTCCCCATCCCTCTCTCCGCATCCCTCTGTTCTCTTCCCTTGCCCCATCCCTCTCCACTTCTTCCGCCTCGAGCCCTCCATTTCTCTTCACTTTCTCCCTCTGTCCTTGGTGTTTCCATAGCTGAGGCCATCTCTGGCTTTACATAAACTCCAGTGGTTCATCCACCTCCAGCTTAGGTTCACTTCTGGTCCCCCTCACGTTAGGACAGACTCCCTCCGTACTAAACTGTGCGGGTACCCAGCCTTCACATCCTCTCTCGGCTGCTCCTCTGGGCCAGCATTGCTCTGGGTGCTGGGAACTCTAGGTATAGACGTCGGGTATGACCTTTGTCCTTCCTCTGGTAGAGGAGGATGTAAGACCCAAGGTGGAGGGACAGCAGAGTCATCAGGAGTTTTAATGGTCGTTTTCCTTTCACAGGTTCCCTATCATGAGCTAGAGCTGCTTAAGTCAAGACTTGAATTGGTGGAATATTTACAAAGGAAGTTATTTTCTCAGAGCTCCACTGTCCACTGGTAACACAGGATGCTGGCTTCAGGATTCACAGTGAAATTACAAAGATCATATTTGTAAGAGAGACAGTTTAATCTGTGAATTAGTGACTATATGGAAATTATGTTTACAGACTTGGGATCTGAAAAGGGTCTGCGGTTTTTCTTATACTATGTATATGTATATTGGTGGTAAATTTGAAATTAATTTAATACTAGTATCTTAGATGCCTTCACTGCATCTAGCAGGATCATTCAAATGCAATAAAGCAGTGTAACAAGTAAATGTTAATTGTCTTGTTTTTAAGAATTATCTGCTAATAAAATATGCTTTTTAGAGGTGTGTGTTTTCTGTTTCTTTTTTTTTTTTTTTCTTTTTTAGGTTTTTCAAGACAGGGTTTCTCTGTAGCTGTGGCTGTCCTGGAACTCACTCTGTAGACCAGGCTGGCCTCGAACTCAGAAATCCACCTGCCTCTGCCTCCCAAGTGCTGGGATTAAAGGCGTGCACCACCACTGCCCGGTGTGTTTTCTGTTTCTAATAAAGGTAAGGAAGAAGTTTTATCTTTCAGTTCCTTTGGTAGGAGTGATGTTTGGTGAGGGTTGGAAGCAGAGCTGTGTAGGTTGGGGCTGGGGGTGCCTGGAGGGAAGGAGGGAGCTGCATAGTTCCCGTGCATTGGTAGCTCTGATCTGTCTCCCTTGGCCCAGGTGTGAGGCAAGCTAGAACGCCAGGCTCCTGACCTGGCTCAGGGACAGTGTGCTGCTTGTGACCTGGCATAGGGACAGGTGCAGCTCACCGCTCTGCTGAGCACCCAACGTCGTCGTACTCCGTGTCTCCGGTGCCTTCTGCTTTCCGCAGTGCCAAGTATGCTGTTTCAGCATGGTCTTGAGAAGCAACAGCGTAGTAAGAACTGTTGAAGAATCCTGATGCCTGGCTTCGTTTCCTCTTCCTCACTTGTTGCTCGTGGACTTGTGCCTCAGTGCCTGTGGTAGTGGGACATCCCTCTGGCCTGTGGGTTCTGAGTCATACATGAGCTATCCTCTGTGGCCCGTACGATCTGTCTGAGCTATGAGGACATCCTTCTGGCCTGCAGGATCTGAGCCACAATGGACACTGATGTAGAGGGTAGTGACAGTTACCTGGGAAGAGAGAACTTGAGTTGCCCAGGTCAGACTTACCTGTGGGGCTATTTTCTTAACTACTGGTTGATACAGAAGGGTCCAGCCCTTTGTGGCTAGCGCCATTCCTGAACCATATAGAAAAGCTAGCTGAGTAGAACTAGGGAGTAAGCAAGCCAGTATGCAGCTTTGTCCACGGCCTCTCTTCAGTTCCTGCCTCTGGGTTCCTGCTTGAGCTCCTTCCCTGCTTCTCAATGGCAGACTGTAACCTATAAACTAAAATGTGCTTTCTTACCCCAACTCGCTTTTGGTTATGGGTTTATTAAAGCAGTAGAAAGTAAATCTGGACAAGTTTTGTTTTATGCTTAGGGATTATCTTAGGGATTCTGTAACAAATACCACAGAGTGTGTGGGTCACAGTGGTGGGATCAAGTATCAGCCTTCACAGTTGGAGGCTAGTAGCCCAGAGTCACGGTGCCAGCAAGATATCCATCTCTGAAGACTTAGGAGAAAATGCTTCATGTACTTCGTAGTGCCTTGGTGAGCCTTAGGCAGTTCCTGGCATCAACACACGACCTACTTCCCATTGGTTCTCTCTCTCTGTGTGTGTGTGTGTGTGTGTTGTTATCTTTTTAAATGGCTGTCTTCCACCGGGGTGTGTCTGGGTGCTTGCCTCTTCCTCTGACCGGCTCCTCTTTGAAGTGTGTTCTCTACCCAAGATTCAACTCACAGACCACATGAAGCTCATGAAGAAGGAAGACCAAGTCTGGGTGCTTCGGTCCTTCTTAGAAGGAGTAACAAAATACTCAAGGGAGCAAATATGGAGACAGAGTGAGGGACAGAAACTGAAGGAGGGGCCATCTGGAGACCATTCCACCTGGGTATCCATCCATTCCATGTGCAGTCACCAAAAGTAGATGCTGAGGTGGAAGTCAGGAAGTGCATGCTGACAAGAGCCTGATATAGCTGTCTGCTTAGAGGTCTGTAAGGGTCTGACATATTCAGAGGCAGATGCTCACAGCTAATCTTTGAACTGATCATGGGGTTCCCAATGGAGGAGTTAGAGTGAAGACTGTAGGAGCTGAAAGGGTTTGCAGCCCCATGAGGAGAGCAACAGTACCAACCAACCAGAGCTCCCAGGGTCTAAACCACCAGCCTGGGAGTACTTAGGGAGGGATCCATGGCTCCAGCTGTATATGTAAGGGAGGATGGCCCTGTTGGGCATAGATCAGAGAAGAGATCCTTGGTCTCATGAAGGCTGGACGCCCCAGTGGGTGGGAATTTGAGGGTGGGGAGGTGGGAATGGGAGGTAGGTAGGGACACATCTGCAGAGAAGCAGGAGGAGAGGGGATGGGATAGGGGGTTCCTGGGGCAGGGGGGATGGGGTAAGGGGATAACACATGAAATGTAAATAAAACATCCAATAAAAAAAGTGTGTTCTCACATAAGGATTCTAGTCATGTTATGGCTCACCACAAGAAAGTTAAGCCTGTAAAGACGACACTAGTCAAATCACACACATAACAGGGACACTCACACAGAGCAGTGGCACTCTGGACGCACGTGAAGAACCCGTCTGCCTAGGCTCATACTGATTGGTAGGCTGGGTTGGGATACGTCACAGGGACCCTAGCTGCCGTGCTTGGTATAAATTAAAGGGGTCATTCCCAGGAAAGAAACCTAGAATTAACCCTGGCTCTGTCTGAATTTTAATCCTGAGAGTGTTTGTGTTTTTTAAAAAATAGGCTAATAATAGTTTTTGGCTTCACCACGAGGCATGAATCTGGCACTGTCATGTCTAGGTCTCTATACATTGAGCCCCCACGCCTCTGAATTTCTGTGTCTGTTTGCTGTGACCACAAGCATATCCAGGCAGTAGCTCTTAGTAGCACGTATTTAAGAATCTTGAATAAGGTCTAATCTTGTTATATTTTTAAAAGTGCAGTAGAAAAGGAAAACAGGTGAAAATTGTTAGTAGGCAAGTGGACTCTGAAAATGGCGGTGATATTCTCTTAGGCTGTCACTAGGGGGAAGCAAAGTTCATGGCATTGATTGAACTAAAGAAGAAACCAGGATACCGGTGTGTGTGTGTAGTGGGGGGGAGAGGACACTGTGGGGAGAGAGGGATATCAGCGTGAATCTCAGATGCCAGTCAGCCTCAGGGTTTCAGGACATTCAATTTCCAGGTTCCAGTCCAACCTGATGGACTGATCCAGCTCTCCTGCTTCTCGGTGGTCCTGGCCCCTGGAATTACCTCCTAAATAACTCACAAGCACCTAATCCCTAATTAGACTCAAATTTAGAGGAAACTCAAGCTAAAGCAACATTTTTTTAAATTGAATTTTATTGTTTTACTCACTTTACATCCCACTCACTGCCCCCTCCCAGTCACCCCCTCCCCTTCGCCTCTGTGCAGGTGGAGGAGCCCTGGATATCCACCCCCCACCCCCCGGCACTTCAAGTCTCTGTGAGGCTTCCTCTCCACTGAGGCCAGACAAGGCAGCCCAGCTAAAAGAACATATCCCATAACAGCTTTTGAGATAGCCCCATTCCAGCTGTTCTGGACCCACATGAAGGCCAAGCTGTACATCTGCTACATATGTGTAGGGAGGTATAAGTCCAGCCTGTGTATGATCTTTGGTTGGTGGTTCAGACACTGAGAGCCCCAAGGGTCCAGGTTAGTTGACGTTCTGGGTCTTCCTGAGGAGTTCCTATCCCCTTTGGGGCCTGCAATCCTTCCTCCTATTCTTCCATAAGAGTTCCCAAGCTCCATCCACTGGCTGTGGGACTCTGCATCTGTCTGAGTCAGCAGATGGGTGGAGTCTCTCAGAGGACAACATGATCCTGTCTGTAAGCATAACAGAGCATCATTCATCGTGTCAGGTATTGGTTAAAGCAGCAATTTTTATTTGTCATCAAGTACTTCCTGAGTACCTCCTGAGCCATCCAAGATAAAGAGATGGAGAGCTTTCAGTCTAATAAAATCACAAATTCTTTGCCTGGTCAACCTTCCCCAGAATTCTGAACTTTCTCCTGTTGTTTAGCAGTTTCTTGTGGGTTCAAAGTTCTGTTCTGGAGGGGTCTCTTTATAGACCTGGAAGTTTTAAGCTCCCATTTTCAAAGGGAAAATGCTCATGAACTCAGGACCTAAACAACTACCAAGTCTCACAAAGTTCCTGAAACTAACAAGATACACAGGGCACCTCGTCAAGGTTACGGAAGCAGTGACAGATTGCTGGAGGAGAAAAGAGTAAGTTGAGCTGCCTGGAGAAAGTTCTCTAACCTGTGGAGATGTCTCTAAGACATACGGAAGTTTCCAGAGTTTGAGCTTTTGTGAATTGACACCTGGGCTGGGCTTTTTGGTGACACAGATTATTTTAGTTGTATTTGCTCCTGTAAGTAACCCCTCTTGTACACTCCTGTAAGTAACCTCAGTAAACACATTTATTCTCCAAGTTATACTTTGATGTGATTGCTGCTTTGGTTCACTGACTGAGGTGAATGAATAGCTGTTTGTTTTTCATCCCACATGTCATCTCAGGCAATCTGTGCATTTTCCTTGCACCATTCAGTTTTGACAAAAGAACCTAAAGTTAGTGTAACAACCCCCCACCCTCCAACTCCTAGCCATGCTCAGCCTTCCTCACTAGATCTGCACCATCCACAATCCTCCAGGGGATCCCTGGATGCCTGGTCTGTACTCTTGAGGTGTTCTGCCAGGTGGGTTTAGCCAGATCCTCTATACCCTGTCTTAATCCATATCACCAAAATTGCTCCTTGGCTCCAAGGTCTTACTTGCCAAGGCTGCCTGGTGAGATGCCCTGTGTATCTTGTTAGTTTCTGGAACACTGTGAGACTTGGTAGTTGAGTCTGATCTTGATCTCAGGCTGAAAGGCCCATTGCACTGTACCTACACCTGCAGCCATATTCCCAAACAAAGCCTGCCTTCTATGCATGCTCATTCCCCTTCCTTGCTGTGATAAAATACTCTGAACAGAAGCAACTCAGGGGAAGAAAGGTTCGATTGGGTTTACACTTCAGGCCACAGTCCATCCTTGAGAGAGTTCAGGACAGGAACTCAAAGCAGAAACCATAGAAGAATGCTGCTAGCCAGATTGCTTGCAGGTTCATGCAGTCCAGGGGCACCTTTCCAGGGACTGGTATATCTATAGTAGACTGGATCCTCCTACACCACGGTGATCCTCACAGATAGGCCAACAGGACAATCTAACAAGGGTAATCCTTCTATTGACTCCTTTTCCAGGCTATGTGGCACTCACAGTTAAAGCTAGCTAGAGATTGTGTTTAACTAAAGTGCCGTTAGTAAAGTTTTCTTTTACTACTAACAAAATGTTACCGAATAAAATTGCCTCTAGCAGAGTTATGTCTGAATGGCTGTGAAAGGGATTTCTATAATGGAATAATTTCAGTCTGGGCTATGCTGGAGCCAAGCTCTCACTATATTTTGTGTCAACCTTTTCTACCTGCCCAAGTGTCTGTACTTTATCATCTATACAAGGTTTGCAAAGGGCCCCAGCCGGCTTCTCTGTCTCTGGAAAGGCTGGGAGTAGATCTCAGAGGGTATTTTATTTTACTGATACTTTTGTGGGAATGGGAACATTAACAGGCATGCTCTTGTGACTTCCGTTCGTGGGAGAAAGGTGAGGACTCTTTTTTTCTACACATCTCCAAGCTTCAAGGAGATGATCACCTCACTAAATGGTTTCCAGCAAGACTAAAGCCCTTGAGACTCTGGCTTATGGTGGGAAGGTTGCTGGCCTTTTTTTCCCCAACTCATGGTATACTCACGCAATCTGCCAGCGGACAATAGAGGAAAGGAGGGAGTGTGGTTCTTGGAGCTGAGGAGGGACCATGATCAGAGCTGCCTTAAATCCGAAGAACTTAACTCCTCTGCCAAGGTCACTTTCCTCTGCTCTTATGCCTTGCCCACATATGAAACGCAGCTACACATGAGGCACATGTGTGCGGCCCATGCTTCTGTGCCTCTAGCCTTTCCGTTATGTGCAACATACGCGTTGCACAGTTTTCAGTTTTCTGTTGTTTCACGCTCTCCTGGACCTCTGTAGCCTTTCTCATCTTTGTCATCTGTCTTCTCCAGGTTGTAAGCTGGACGCTGTGACCCAAGGCTTGTTTGTTTTGGGGTTGTACTCTCAAATCTTGACACATAGTAGCTTTCTGTCTCGATCTGCAAAGCTAAAGAATGTCCCGAGACTTACAACAGACTGCTGTAAGATGTAGAGGACTGGGTGCGATCCCTTAGGCAGCTCCTACTTGGAAAGCCACAGACAACTCTGCTAGGTCTCTCTCAGGGTGTGGTAAAAAGAACCTAGAAGGAGGCGTCAAGGAACTTCCCAACCTTCGTCACTAAGCGGATGCTGAGAACAGGGCGCAGTTGCCAGGCAACAGCCGAGCGCAGACGCCTGGAGGGACGCAGAAGCTTCATAACCTGATGGAGGGACCCGTCAAGAAGGAACAGCGGGCGATGGACTCCGGTGGCATGAAGGAGAAGAAGGGAAATGTGGAAGAGGAGGTGGGAGAAGAAGAGACAGAAGAGGAGGAGGTGGAAGACGAGGAGGAAATCACCGTGGAAACTCTGCGGGGCAAACCCCGACCTCTGCCCATCTCAGCGTTACCGGCTTTCAGCTACATCCCGCCACGGCACCAGGGCCCCAAGGAGCGCAGCTACTTTGGTCGCGAGGGCCAGGTGAGCAGGTTCAACAGAAAGAGAGGAGGGTTAGGGGATGGGGTGGGGTGGGGTCCTCACTGCCAGAGAGGAGCCTCAGGGCGGTAAGGACAGTGATGAGGGCGGGGCTTCAGTGCTAGGGAGAGGCCTGGGGCGGGGCCACGTTACTGGAGCTCTCCAGACAGCGCTAGGGCAGGGCTTCAGGTGTGGTAGTCAAACTGTGACTGGAGGGTTGGGAAGGACTGACTGCTTGGGATAGTGTCAAGGGCAGCTAGCCAAGGTAGGAGGGGTGGTCACACTACCAGAGGCGACAGAGGTGGTGCAGCTCTAGGCAGAGGGTGGTGCCCAGGACAAAGTGCGTTGAACTGCGGAGTTCAGAGGAATTGTATACGGACGCGGAACTGTGGATAGCGTGGAAGCCTCCTGGCTCACAGATGTGGAACTGATCTTGGGGTTGGCTAGGGTTAAATACCAGAGTCTGGGTCAGGGCCCCGTGTTACTGTTTGTGAAGGGTAATTGAATACGTTGATACTAGTGAGGCAGGCATGGTTAGCAGGCAAGCCTTGGGGTGAGGTGCAAGGACACCAAGAATATGGCCATCACAACCATGGGTGTAGACACTTCAGGAAGTGAGGATGGGCAGATGTGAGCTTGATGCCCCGAGAGAGGGAACTGGGAAGAGGTGTGTGCATAAAAGGATCAGGCAATCACAGCCATTCCTGGTGAGTCACCAGATGTGCCCCTCTGGGAACAGTGGAGAGGCCACTACTTATCCATTCTGTAAAAACCTACGTGAGTACTCTGAGGACACTGGGTTACTCTTTCTGCCCATGATCTGTTGGTGGGACAATGGAATGCCAGAGCTGCTCTACTTAATAGCGGCTCAGCTCCCTGGGTCTGTCTGTATCAGGTCTGGGGTAGCAGTGGAAACAAGCACTGGCCCTAGTTACAATGCCTGTAAGGTCCAGGGTGTGGGGGACGTCCTGCCTCCAGATGGTGGGAACAACAAGAACAGTGTCTTAGTTAGGGCTACCGTTGCTGTGAAGAAACACCACAAGCAAAAGCAAAGTTGGAAAGAGTTATCTCACTCACAGTCCCATAGAACATGCAGTTCATCATCAAAAGCATCGAGGACAGGAACTCAAGCAAGACAGGAACCTGGAGGCAGGAGCTGGAACACCATGGAGGGGTGCTGCTTTACTGACTTGCACACCATGGCTTTGTTCAGCTTGCTTTCCTGTAGAACTCTGGACTATCCCAGGGTGGAACCTCCTAGAATGGGCTAGGCCATCATCCATCCCTCACTAATTAAGAAAATGCCTTACAGGCTTTCCTGGAGCCCAGTCTTATGGTGGCACTTTATTAATTGAGGTTTCCTCCTCTCAACTGGCTTTAGTTTGCGGCAAGATAACACAAAACTATCCAGCACAAGGAGTGTGACCAGTGAGTGCAGAAAGATCTGGGCTGGGAGTTGTGGTTAGATTCTGGCTTAGTAACACTGGGCACTTGCTGGTCTTGGGAATGGCACTATGGTCTGAGGCAGCTGCTTTGCACTGTTCACCAGATGCTAATACAAGAGAAGCAAACCTAGGCTGTGAGGGTCATTTGTTCCTTCCTTTCACTATTGTGACTAAATTTTCTTCAGTGAATCCTGCTTAGGATGCCTACATCAGGGTGACATTATGGGAAAGGGACATTAAATATGGACACTTGGATCCAACAAGTAACTCAGGACCTGATCCCCCGTGTTTTTGCTATCCTGTGTCACTGCATAAAGAGCGGTGTGGATTAAGGAAGTACCTAAGATGAAGGCGACCATTCCTTCCTACAATACTATGTAAGGTCTTCCTACATAATCCATCCTTCCTATCTTCCCACTGACAACCCCAGGCTCCAGTGAATCCTCTTCCTTCCCATCAGGCCAGCATGCACAAAGAGTCAGGCATACAACACATAGGCATCTCAGCAACAGGAGTCATTCTTGGTGTAGGCCACTGTTAGTGTTTGGACTCTTAAAATTCCCTTTGCAGAGTCCTGATCCTGAGAACCCCCAGAATGTGAACTTAAGAGACATAATTCTATATAAGTGATCATCAAACAAAAGTGAACACCCAGGGTCGCCCCTAACCCAACATACTGGAAAAGGGAAGTATACAGAGACAGACATGCATAGAAAATGTAGGGAGAGGGCTATGAGGGTACGAGTATGCTATAGACCAGCTGAAGAATGCAGCCTGGAGCATATCCCTGCCTCATAGTCCTCTGTAGGAACTGCCCTGAGAACTACTGGGTCCATGCTGTTGGTTGCCAGCAGTAAAAGACAATGTATGGTTGTTGTTTAAGCCTCTTAGTTGGCGGGACTACTTCAGCAATTCTAGTCCACTAAGATAGCAACTAGAAGCCCCAGTGCACTCCCAGAGGGTCTTGTATCTAACAACAGCAGTCTGCTTATGGTTGAGGAATGTGGAAAGACAGAAGGGACAAGGGGGGAGTGGCTCTTGTCATCAGATCTGTGTCCCCAAGCCATGGATCCCTGCTGGAGTTTTGAGAAGGGATTGGGGTGTATAGCTATG